CCCTCCCTTCCTCCCTCCCTCCCTCCCTCCCTTGGCCGCCTCTGTCATTCTTCTCCCGGCTAACGCCTCCTCGCACACCCACTCCTATGTCATTCGAGGGGACCCTGGAGGACTTGCGGAGCTTTTCCTCCGCCTCGTCAGCCCCTCCTTTCCCCCCCTGCTAGCATCACCTCTCACCCCCCCCTCCTTTCCTGTACCGCTTGAGGGGTGGCTCTGCAGCAGTTGTTTGTTTTCTTTTCTTTTATTGGTAGTTATTTCTGTACTGTAGCAGCTCTGGAGCTGTTAGTCTTAGGGTGTTTTGCCACAGCTTCATGCCCCTAAGGTTGGAGGGTTTTTCTTTCCTTTTTTTAGTTGTTGTTGAGGTTATATGTTTGGAATCCTCACTTTTATCTTTTCCTAGGATATCATCCTGCTCCTCCCTCCCTCCCTCTCCCTCCCTCCCTCCCTTCCTTGCTTGCCCCCTATGTATCTAGCTTCCTCTGCCCATCCATCTGTCCGTCTGTCGGACCTTCTCACCCTCGTCCTCCGCCCTCCCTTTCCCCTGCGAGCATCTCCTCCAATCTTCTGATCCCTACGTGCTAGGCGCACTTCATCTCTTTTCCCTCCCTCCTTCCCTCCCTCCCTCTCTCACTTCCGCTTTGTCTGCTATGCGTTGCGTTGCTAGCGGGATGAAGGCGCACTTCATCTCTTTTCCCTCTCTCATTCCGCTTCGTCTGCTATGCGTTGCTCTCTGTGCATTCCTGTCCCTGAGGGCATACTCGCGCTGCGGCTGCCCGGATGTATCTGACCATATATTTTACATCAGTCCGCAAAGGTGTAGTGCGCGCATAGCCTCCTCCGGTGGACCCTTTTCTCTTCGCTGTTTCCTTTTGTTTCCGTCCTTCGCTTCCCATCCGTCGCCCTGAGTATCTTTTGGTTTCCCGGACGTATCTGACTGTGTATCTTGCCAGATGCAGATCGTTTTGGTTTCTTCTCATGAGGACCGTTTGCACATTCAACCCTGTCGTTCTTTCTATGCTCGACTCCCTCTGACCGTCCTGTGATTTTTTTGGCACGGATACTGTGTGGACTTTCTTTTTCTGGACACTTTGTGACCTGTCAGGGCGAAGATGTTCGGCTCGAGGAAGACTGGAAGCCGTTGGATGAGACAAAAACCGGGGAGGAGATCGAAGAGATGATCAGGAAGAAAGAAGCGCACTCACGTGCTGTGGTGCTGGAGATGGTAAGTACAAAAAGAGATTATGCATTGCGAAATGAGCGGCAGAGAGACTCTCTTGTCCGTGTCTGCCACTATGGTGGTGGTTGTTGTTGTCTGTGTGTGTGTGTGTGTGTGTGTGTGTGTGTGTGTGTGTGTGTGTGTGTGTG